TAAAAAAGAAAAAACTAATAACTTAGGATTTTATTAAATATAAATTACATTAATTTTTTTTATAAATTTTAATGGGTCAAAAATGAAAATTTATAAATTTATTAATTAAATATTTAATTGTGGACGTAGAAATCGACACCAAATGACACAAATCCTCTCTCTCATACTCATTTTTCGGTTGGTAGCCTACTCGTGATGATAAAGACAACAAAATGTAAACCAGACCTAATGGCATTTCGCATGTGTGGAAAAACAATAATTATACATATTGTCTGGAAATCTGTTAATGCGTTGACTTTATGAAAAACAAAAGTTGACCGAGTGTAGCTTGTTTCCCTTAACTTTTCAAGTAAAATAAAATGGCTACGTGTGTTTTCTATATAAACAAAAACCACAATACTTAAGTGTTCTTATTTTAAATTGTTTGGAGTAAAAAATGATCAATTTTGGTGATAAGACAATATTGGTTAAAAATATACACTCAAAACATTAAATTAAATTTAAATTATTAAACATATGTTGTACTTTTTAAATTCTCATATACAACCTAAGAGTATATAGTTGATTCAACTTTTAAAAATTTAAATATATAATTATATTCCAAAAAGGATATATATATATATAATATTTAATCGCAAAAGAGGAAAGTAATGCCTGGATCGATCAATCAATCCACGTTAGTTTCTTTTTCCTTCCGACAAAATAAATGATTGCTTTTTAAATCCTGAATGAAAAGTTCAATACTTTATAAATTATGATCCCGCTAAACAAGGAAGAGATCAAGAGAGAGATGTCAAATTTTATGGGTCGTATTTAGAAATGTCAAATTTACTTGTGAAAACACATTCCTAACGGGAGAGTATTCCCGGTTTACACGATAACTGAAAGAAGGAAGAATATTTTTTCCCGTTAGATAAAGAGTCGAGGACGAAATCGTATTCTCCATTCTTGGTTCACTATACATATAACTAAATAAGATTGTTGTACATTAAAATTTGATTTTTTCAAAATTGAGTTGATATTGATTTATTAATTTTTTTTTTTTTTTTTTTTT